AATGCATTAGGGATAGAAATGCTCTTGTTAAGGGCGGTTTTACCGACTAACATCAGTATTCATCATAACTTTCATTCATTTTTTAAATTAAGGACATTTAGTTTATAAACTGTCCAGTATATTGAAACATTACCGTTGCAATGTTCTGGAGGTCAAGTTATATTTTAACAAATACCTTTGAAAAGCCAAAGGCAGCAAATGTTTATCATGTTTAGCCATGCCAGTTAGCTACAAGTAATTTGATTTATAAACTCTAAACCAAATTAAATGGTACATTACAGTGTGGCTGTGGACTGACTGATTATTTTCAGTCAACTAATGATATCATTCACTGATTATTTTGCATGTTAATAATCACTGCGGGCTGACTTTGAAAAATTATTAAAAAATTAAAATTAAAATTAAAAAGCAGATACGTTTTCGACAGATGCTGGTATTGTTAACAGCTCGTCCAAATTCCATACACAAAGGCTTTGGTTGACGGTGGATCTTTTGATTCAGCTGGTTGTTGAAAACCATCCAAGCCCCTTCGTCTCTCTCTGGCCTCCACTAAAAGAAAGTCTATTTTTCATGTGGGATCCAGTCAGCTGTTCACACAGTGCCACTCGGGAACCGGCTCATCGCTGCTTGGACCAGGATCTGTTCAAAGTGTGAAATGCCTATGCCAAAATAAATCCAGCGGCATTGAATAATTTAATTGATGCTTATTATAGATAGCGTTCAACTGCCATAGATTTTACAGGCTGGCTAAGCCTTACCCCGGGCTCATCTGTGTCACTTTTTGATGGGCTGCCTTGTGTCTGCGTAACCCGCTTTCTTGTTCACTCTTAAATGGTAAATGCACGTTGCCTCTGAGTCACAATTGATAATTTACATACAGGACAGTGTTGTTGAAATGAATGACCGTAATAAGTTCCTCAAGTTGAATTAAAACTATCAACCAAGGCTCAGGTTCACCAAGACAATTGGTCCAAAACTTTTCCAAGTTTCCATATGAATCATCATTATCCACACTTGACTGACACAAACGTTTAATAACTGAAGATATTTTTGCATAATCAAGTCCAAAAAATGCCAGTGTTTCTACGATAACCCAATTTGCATGACATTATTTGCTGAACAGGTGATGTGTGGTTCTCATTCACGCTCGGTGCATCCGAGCCTCAAGCTGCAACAACAAATTTGTTATAAAGAGTACATCCGTGCTGATGAGAAGAAATGGATTTTTTTGTTTATTTTTGTACTTCATGATCTTGTAAAGTCGACCAGCTATATTTTCCAGAAGTATTTAAAGATATCACACTACCTTTTTACCCAAGATGTCTATAAATACTTCATGATGTTTAAACAAAGTGATCATTAAGCACAAAAATCCCACAAAATCCATCAAATGCCTACGTTTGTTTGTATTTACCTAAACTACTTCTCCCTTTTCTCCTCTGCACAGCGATCCAAAATAGCCGTGTACGAGAAGATGTGGTCATACATGAAATCCGCTGAGCCCTCGGTGTTTGTTAAGACCACACCCGATGGCGTAGCCCGGGTACGAAAGTCAAAGGGCAAGTTCGCCTTCCTCCTCGAGTCCACCATGAACGAGTACATCGAGCAGCGGAAGCCCTGCGACACCATGAAAGTGGGCGGGAACCTCGACTCGAAAGGATACGGCGTGGCGACGCCCAAAGGCTCAGCATTAAGGTGGGTGGAATAATATAACAATATCCTCCATGTTGTTATAGTACTCCACCTACCCTGATGTCCCCCTGTTGTCATTCTCTTCTCTTCCTCTTCTTGTTTTTTTTTTTTTTTTATGGACACAGAGGTAACGGTAGTATGCCTTTAAATGCACTTGGATACGAAGGTTAAATTATAATCAATGTTTACTTTTTATGTGTTATAAATGTGTGATAAAAGCTGACAACGTCCTGTAGAGGAATCCAATCCAAATGAGAAGGCTGAAGCTAACAATCATTTCATGTTTATGTCTCTCTTACTGTTGCTTTTCTCTCTCCTTCGATCTCTCCCTCCGTCCCGTGTGTTGTCCTACCTGACTGTTGTGTTGTCACTTTTAATTTAACAGTTCAATGGTTTTTCAATTTAGCCTTTAAAAGCTGCGCTGTCACTCGTGACGAATGTTAATTGCATGTTGTTTTGTTGTTGCTTTTCTTCTCAAAGACAAGTGTCCCCATCCCGCACACTTCAGTTCTGAACTACGTAACCCTTCAGGCCACCTTTTTCCAAGATTTAACATTATCTTTGCCTTATTCTAGCCTTTTCTTATCTCTCCCTATTCCTTTAAATTCTCAAACAATTTGTCCTTTCCTAGACCATTCTGATTAACAGATTCTGTGCCTAAGCCCCTGCTTAGAAAGTGGTGGTCTCACTGCCATCATCGATCATTATGATGCTTGGTGCAATTATTACTTTGCATTAGATTTCTCACGGACCTGTGCATTTTCTTACAAGTTATGTTTTATCGTTTCAAGAAATGCTGTTAACCTGGCAGTTTTAAAACTGAATGAGCAAGGCCTCTTGGACAAATTGAAAAACAAATGGTGGTACGACAAGGGAGAGTGCGGCAGCGGGGGAGGTGACTCCAAGGTCAGCCTCGATGTCACCACAATCGGGTACCATAGTGCAGAGTAATCGGCAAAGCTGTTACACCAACCCAACCAAAACCAAACCAACTGTCCGCCCCCAACCAACCTGCCACAGCCCCACGGCAGATTACCAAATTGACTACCCGTCTGACCAGATGCTTTAACAGCTCAGATTGACTGAGGAGCCTTTGTGTAGCCTACAGTAGAAGAAAGAAAAAACACGATATTTGTGGTTAGGGAGACTATAATGTTCACAGAAAGAGTTTTCTTTGAGATTAATGGGAATCCTCTTAAAAACAGGGAGACTATTAGGTGAATGTGGCTGCCCTGCAGTTGTGAAAGGTTGAGCTTCCTTTATTCACCCTTACGCACGTGCAGGGTAGATCACCAGGTTGCAGATATCAGGGCTCCGTCTAGGTAGCTTGAAACCAGTTGATGAAGTCACACACAGGTGATTGAAGGTCCGTAAGTTTGCCAGTGATTCAATATTTCCACATTGAAAAAGTCCCAAACCCTCCAGCCTTCCACCCTGAAGCTTTCCAAAAGACGGGTCTTTTCTAGCACTTCACCGCACAGCTGCTTCACATCCACGACACTGGCCCACAACCTGTGAGCTTTAACGCCTCAAAATGGCGGCTCAGCTGCGGCTGACAGGGAAGCAAGGGGAACAGCTGCGTCTTGAGGGGACTAAGCATTGCAGGCAAACGTGAGAATTCTAATTAAACGAAAGACAAATGATTTTGTGTTGAATGAGTCATGTGATAAACCACCTCTGGTTTGATTCCTCTACATGCCGTTCCTTCCCCATCCCAGTAACAACACAGCTGTGATCCCTTTGACCATCACTCTTCCTCTTCTTCTGTGGTTAAATGATGAACGATTTTTTTTTTTTTCATTGGGGAAGCTGATGGTGCCAAGTGCGTAAACTCACTCGACCATGAACACGTAATGTTACTGGATCACGTCCCATTTAAATGCGTGCTATTTTCTCTCGATCACACGAGGCCCACTAGCGATATTCTTTACCCCGCCCGGTCAATCTGCTAACAAATGAAGCTGTCAGCACAAATGTGATGATATGGATCTGGTAATTGGTGAGATTACAGACAAGCTGCAAAGGTCCCGTGGACTGCAGATTGTGTCATTATACACTTAATGCCATTTTTCATGGATTGGCCGAGCCCAAAGTGAACCGTTAAGATGCTGCCAGTCATTTTTAAAATAGGGCACCACAAGAGGCTGCATGAGGCACGGATCAAATAACGCCAACGCTGAAAGCCGGTGGTTGATTTCTGAGAATTCCTTTTCTTCTTCTGTCACCCTTTTCCAATGTTTGCATTGCTAACATTGTTATGTTCTGTAGTCACTGAGCTCTAGAGGCCTCCTTGTGCCACTGACGCTCAGGAGCCATTTGAACGCATCTGTCTCTTGCGCTGCCATCGATCTATTATCACACACAGGTATGTACTGTCGCTTTCCTGGCCTGTTGTGGCTCCCCAGGACTCAGTGGAAAGGCCCCGATTAGGTGGAATAAAGCTGCCTAGAGCGCTGCGCTCCAAACGGGGCACCGCTTGGCCCCGTCCCAGTCACAGCTCCATGCTCCGACAGACATTGGGAGATGCACATAATCATGCACACACACACACACAGTTAGCACAGCACTTTCTCGTCCTCGGGCACAACACAGTGCAGCCCAGATTGAGTTTCAGACACAGAGCATGATACAGGGTAATTGCATTGTTAATCAATGTCTCTCCGAGCCGAGACAATAGTCGGGTCTTCACAGTCCGTTTCTCCGGATTGGCTGTGAGAGACATACAGTGGTGTAATCTTCACTCAGTGCATTACGCATCGCATGAGTCCCTTTGGGGGACATTGTTTCCAAGGAGCAGTGCTCCTTTATTTTTCAGTGGAGATTGATGTGAACCGCAAATAATCCACTTTTATATTAGGACTACAAAAAGTGCTTTAGAAAAATGTTACATACGGTAGTTCGACGTCATGTAGATATGAAACGCCGCAAAAAAAAGCTGTGTCAGACATTTAGATTATGCAGCCACAGGGAAATATGAGATAAATTATTCCACTGATACTTTTGAGCTTAGTCCTGTAGCTCATCTGACACTAATCTGCGTAATTGGGAGATAAAGTTTTCTTGGCGATATGTCGGGATAAAACACGTAAGAATTAATTAAGCTTTCACTTTTTGGGCAGAGCTGCTTGGATGTGACATTGGTTGTAACACCTGGTTGTTGTCGTGCTGGCCGGCGCCATTAGTCATCACAGGATTAAGCCGGTATTGTGGAAACGGAAAGGCTGCGTCCACCATCTTTCTGTCTGTTTACGACAAAGCTCCCGTTGAACTGAACCTGTTAAACGCTGTTCAGAAAGCCCCCCGTGATCTGTGTCCCCCTCCTCCAAACCGATGCACCCCAGTGCTTTTTTTTGAAACCCACAGACTTGCAGATTTGTACTTTGTGTACCTGCTCGTCGCCCCTGTCAACAGCGTCTGCCGATTACTCAAAGCGATATGGGTAGGTCCTGGCTTTAGACTAGGGGTCATGAAGGTAATAGGTAGAATGCCTGCTCTCTGTGATGTTGACATAGCCAGGAGCCCTGCTTTATCGCTTTGTAAAGTATGTAGTAGTTTAAAAGTTGAATAACATAAAATAACATAATATAATGTTATTTATGTTATTTCCCACGTGAAGAACTCCTGTAAACCTTGCAGTATTGAAACTCAGTGAACAAGGCATCTTAGACAAGCTGAAAAACAAATGGTGGTACGATAAGGGTGAATGTGGAACCAAGGACTCTGGAAGTAAGGTCAGTCGCTGCAGGTCTTTTGTACTGATTCCAAATTGCATTTTGACGTATTGTTCATATGCAAGACAAGACTCTATATTATACATTTTGCTTATTTGCTACACATAATTTTGTTTTCTTCTTTTTGTTAGTGCTTTTTCTGCCACAAGCTGTAACACAGTTTATATGTGGCTTCAACACAAGGCACTGCTTCCCCAAATAGATTTTTTTTTCTTTTATTGCAATAGAGATGAGACATTTTTTGGATGTAACATAACATCTAGAAAACACTCTTTTTTTTCTAAACTGTAAGGATAATAATGTGGGGATATTCCCAAAGTGCCTTTTAGATACACTATTCCAATTGAATCACAACAGTTGTTGATGAATGCTATTTTTGCTCATTTTCACTCTTGACATTCATGATACTTTGACCATTATGCTGCTGTTCCTATAAACCAAACTGTTAATGAAAATTTGATTTATTTGTGTTATTACTAGTTTGCATTGCGATGCGTATATTAGATTCTTCGGCCTCCTGTGGTGTGATGAACAAGCACAGCCTCTTATTCTGATGAGTTACTCAGATTCAACTTCTCTATGCGGCGAGAGCCCTGTAGGGTTTCCTCCCAATCTTGTGGCTGCTCGGAGTTGTGATTAGAGGCTCTGTTTGCACACGACAAGAAATTGGGGAACGTAATAAACTCATTATTTAACCCTCTGAGCCGAACCCTCAGATCATAGGTGACGGTTGCCCGATTTCCTCGCTCATGGGGTTAAACTGCAAATAGTAAAACCCTAATGAACTCATTTTTAATGAATATGTTTGGTAGGTAAGCAGCAGCAAAATGGTTTAATCTTTAGTGTTATTTTCTTAAACTCTAATGGAATTATCATTCATCTATTATGAATTTGACTGTACTGTATGACAATGTTGCCGTGAGAGTTATACGTACATGTCGCCAAGAGGATGAATCCTTTTTTTTTTTCTTCTTTTTTTTTTTTAAAGATAGGGATCTTCAGAGCTGTCGACCTATGCGATACTGACCACCTTCCTCACATGGTCAAGAGCAGAAGCGTTTTACATTCTGTCCATGCAGAGTAGGGAAGGCAAAGCTCTACATTCACCAGCAGACAGAGCCTCAAGGCTTCTCTCTCCTCACTGGAGAATGGTTGACTCGGTCTCTACGACAACCGCAGGAAGTCAAAATACTAGCCTTACATCTTCACATTTTTGCTCGCCTCTAGCTTTTGGCGTCCGCAATCTGCCACACCAGTAGAGATAGAGTACCACGACGTTGTAGAGCAGTCTTAAGTCGAGGCTACACCAGGCTCAGTTTGAAGCAGGCTGTGTGTTGTTCTTCTACCCTTGCAAAACCCTTAACTACGTTATTCACTTCCCCCCAGGACAAGACAAGTGCTCTCAGCCTAAGCAATGTGGCTGGTGTCTTCTATATTCTGGTTGGAGGGCTGGGGCTGGCCATGATGGTGGCTCTGATAGAGTTCTGTTATAAATCAAGGCAAGAAACCAAACGGCTGAAATTGGCCAAGAATGCCCAGAATTTTAAGCCGGCTCCCCCGACCAACACCCAGAACTTTGCCACATACAGAGAAGGCTACAACGTGTACGGAACCGAGAGCGTTAAGATCTAGAGGTACGTCGCCTCTGCTTACCGTCCCGCGCTCGTCCCCCCGGGGGCCCCGTGGCAGATGAATCATTTAGCCGGCTGTCACACCAGCCAGAGTGAGAAATCCACTTGTGTGTGTGTTGCTGTGGGGCTGCCGCTTGTGAAATTGTTTGCGGTTGTCGTGTTGGGCACAACAGGACACATATGCCCTCTCAAGTACGAACCGCAGAGATGTCGTGGCGGCCTTGTAACTTGGGTCGCGCCTCAGGGGACGAGAAGGGTGCGGCACGCAACCGTGGCAAACTATTCACAGCGCACTTTCATCACAACCGCACACAAGTAAAGTTTTTTTCTGTGACTGTAATTGGATTTTCTCCCAAATTACCATTAATATTCTCACTTACCTTTAATGTTTTCTTATACAGATATTTGGGGTTTTATGTGCAAAAGTTTGGATAGTTGCTTAATTATGTTCAGCAGTTAGTTTTTTTAATTTGATGTTATTTCGCGCCCGGCAGGTGTACAACAATTTATTGAAACTTGAAAAAAGCTGGTTGTTACGTCTGAAAACATTTACTGAGGGGGCGAAAACAGTAAAGCTGTGAGGCAGGAAACCAAAACAATGCGCTAAAGCTGAGGATTTAAGTGATGTGACACCATGAGGGACCCCCGTCACCTCACACACAGTTGCATAGTTTATTGGAGCTTTGAAAACTTCAGCAGTTTTCCTTTTAGAAACACACTTATTCTTCTGCACGATCCACACTGTGCACACTGTGAACTGCTTTCACGAGGACTACTTCTTCTGCAGAAGTGGTAGTTCCACTGAAAGCTCACTAGAGGTGAGTGGGAATGAAAAGAATAGCTCCGTACAGCAGTTCTACGGCACTGGACCAAAGCGAGGGGACCCTGAGGAGTGCACCGTTAAAGGAGTTTACAGGAGCACAGCTGGACAGAGCAGCGTCTAAAGGCCTTGAAAACATATTGAAATTCGGAAAGCTATAGATGAATAACATGAGAGTCTTGAGGCTGGGCGGATAAAAGACGCCCCTGTACGGCACGTATGTTTATGTTGCTTGGGCAGACAAGTGTTTTTTTCAGTGTTAAACTGAGTGACAAACTTTAAATGTCATATCAAAATGCCCAAGGGCTTTGGACGATATTGTTTAGAAAAGAAAACTCTTATTTCAGATTGATGGAATTTCCATAAATGTGGTGATTTACTTTGATTCAGGTACTACTTAGTAAGTAGTCAATGCTATCAACATGTACCTCAAGCCTTCCCACTTTTGCTTCTGCTCTGTACGTCAACACAGGTTTAGGAAACATTTCCATTGTCCCTTACAACTGTGACTGAACATCTGGAGGAACGGACAGGATCACGAGGATTGAGCTCCAAGCCAAATCTTCTCGGACGCGATAATCTGCAATGACGACACGACTGGACTGGTCACGGGAAGAGCCGCTACGGTTCCCTCCTCTCAGTGCCTTACGGAACTCTGAGTCCAATCAATGCAACTCATTCACACAATGATATTGCTTTTTGCTTGAAACTCATACAAAAACAGAAGAATGGTGCAGTGATTGAAATATATAAATCTATGTATATATAGATATATATATATATACATAATACATTTGACATGTTAAAATGAATGAGAGAACTAAAGCCATCATTTGCAACCCGAAGCACACTTTGAAGTGCCAGAAAGACGACGAATCTTGTACAACAATTGTCTAATTGGTTTTCTTGTAATCAATATGATCAGATTACTCTTCATCCTACTGCTACCAGATTTTCACTGGTTATATATGTTCAAATCGTTTTATTAGATCTATTCAGTGCACTGTAAGACACTGGTTAGTTGACTATAGCTTTTATACTGCTGTGAGTCACTTATAGTGACCTCGTACCTGTTTTAGAAGACAGATTGATCTTATTGGAGCGAGATGCCATTCAGCCCCGAAAACAATTATCAGTGTGTCGTTTGGACTCTAAACTCTGGTGCTGCTGCCACTGTCTTCTGAACGTTTGAAGGGACTCGTGAAGGCGAGACAAGGATCTGGTTTGGCTTTTAGGCACTACAGAACCAGGTCGTAATTCGCACTTCCAATACTGCCAAGAGTGGGTTTTGTACGATAAAGAGGGTTTAAAGCAAAGTATTCATGCTTGAGCTAAAAAAGAAATAATGTTTGTGATCTCCAGTTTGTAAAATATCAAAGGAGCACTGATTCACCGAGGTTCGTCTCTTTGCAAAACAATCTTTCTTTGAAGTTTAGAGTCATTCGAGTCTCCTGTACGTGAAAGTTAAACCAAACAAAAACGGCAATTCAACTGTAGAATAACTGCAATCCAATTAAAGGATAACAGTAATGGCTTTGAAACTGTAGTATTTTGGATTACTTTACCATTTTCTTTAACGGTTGCAAATTTTTACAGCAAGTGGTCTGCTTTTAATTTAATTTCCTCTAATGAGCATTACAGTGTTTGGTAACTTCACTTAGTAAATGAAAAATGTATGAATACAACGGAAAATACATTTACACAAGGTTATACCAGGGAGAGCCCTGAAGCTTAGCACATTTTCATATCGCTGTGATCATTTCTTTTCTTTCAAAAAAAACTGTGATTCCATAGGATTTACAAAGATAGTTATCTAATCACCTGAACCTATCGACAGATTTATATATCTATACATTAACTGATAATGTGAAGAAAAGCGAAGAAAGAGCTGAGAAAGATGTGTACATTTAGAACAATTACAATTATTTATATTACATGATGAAAGACTGGTTTCCCCTTTATATTTCTTTTTTTTTTCTAAAAAATTGCATGTGAATTCAGTGATGCTTGACGAGCTCTGCTACTCACAAACCGACCGGAGGTTAATGTCCAGCCCCGCGTATATTCTTTTTCCCCTTGTTTCTTTTTTGTATACGCCTCACCTTCTGCAACAAAAAAAAAAAAAGAACATGACCTCGTGGGGCGTAGTAGTGGGTACAAAAGAGCAAGAGACGCATGCTAATTTGCTGAACCTCGTTAGTGAGGCGCTGTACAGAGAATTTTAATACATTTTGTAAATAAAATGTACAGAAAGGATTCGGTGTCTCTGTTGTCGTTCTTCCCCAACAATCATCGCTGAGTAATAAAACTGATGATTTTGCGACCTGCTGCGGCTCAGATTCAAGGGAGGGGAGTTTAACTCTGGCGTGGCGGATTGTCTGTAGCTCCCCTGCAGACAAATATACAAAGTAATATGTCCCGTATTGAGCCGTAAGTCCGTGGAAGTGTGTGTGCGTGTTTTGGATCAATAGTGAGCACCCTACATTGCATCCGCTGATTGAGGGCTCCATTGACAGCTTCATCTCTCTCTCTCTCTATAAAATCAATAACACAATCAATAATGTTTTATCTTAGAACTTGTGCTGGAATTATAAGCAGCGCAGCATCCATGAGCAGTATGTTGGTGGTTAAGCTTCAAAAAAGTATATTTTAAGGGAGGATGTTTTGGTCAGGATTTGCCTAAGTAGATACAGCACAGGGGAATGTTAATCATTTAAACCCTGCTTATTCCCACAGTGTAAATTCTCACATACAGGCCTACTGTAAATGAGCACAATGCTCAATAGATTGCCCAGGCGGCCTGTGTCATTTTACTGGTCTCTGGGTCTGCATTGTGCGGTAAAATGAAGATCCAGCCTGCCTGCAGCTCAAACAACAAATCCCACAAACATGGCAAAAGACCAGTGGGTATTTTTCGCTTTCATTTTTTGAATGCAGACACCATGATTTGGGATTTATTCACTGCACCAATCCTGTACAGTCCAAACCACCTATTTCTGACAAAGCATGAAAGGATATTGCTTTTTTTGTTCTTCCTTTGCTTCGCTGCCTTTCCTTTGGTGCCTTTTTCTTTTCTTTTCTTTTCTTTTCTTTTCTTTGTCATGCCTGTACGGCTTCAAAACAGGAACGAGAACGCGGAGGAGTGGCGCGTGAGGATGGCACTGCACTGATGCTCATGAGACTGTTCTCGGGAATTAGTTTACTCACCTACAGCATGAGGTGGTTGACGCGGTGACCGCGCTTGGCCCCCAAAGAATGGGACGAGGTCTTTCATTGCGAGAGTGCACGATGAAAAGGATCTGTTAGTCAGGGCAGAGCTCACTGGCTTCCACCAGAAGACGACTAATCATCCAAGGCGCAACTGCCCAACTGTGCCGCTGTAGACTGGCTCGTTGTGTCGCTGCCTCCTCGGGCCTGCAGCGGCGAAAGCTCCTCTCATCTAACTTGGGCTCCATTGCTAAGAGGAGGGTGGTTATATGTGTGTGTGTGTGTGTGTGTGAGTAGGGAACGGAAGTAAGCGCAAGAGAGAAATAAAGAAAACTCAAAAGGCTGAAAGAAGTCGTGGAGATACTTTGATTACTGCTACAAAAATGAAGAAAATAGACACTTTCTGGTTTACCAGCTCCCTCGTTTTGCTGGTGTATGTCTCTCTGTCTCTCTCTCAAGGACACTATGACTACATTTCTTCCATTTTCCTCTTTTCTCCCCTTTAGCATCAAGTGCATCTGGAGAGACCTGCACTCGGCATTCAAGGTCATTTGACATTGGTCCGCTTCCAAAACAAGGATCCTGTTGTGTAAAATGATAGTTATATTATTTTTAAAGCCAGGAATCAGGATAAGTGTGTGTGTGTGTGTGTGTGTGTGTGTGTGTGTGTGTGTGTGTGTGTGTGTGTGTGTGTGTGTGTGTGTGTGTGTGTGTGTGTCTGTGGGCCCTAAGTTTGAAAAACAAAAGTCCAGTTATGACGAATCTACCCCATAAGCGACGTCCATTTGCTTGTCGAAATGTGGAGGTTGGTGCCGTTTGGACCAGTGACACGTTCAATATTAATAAAAACGTGAATAAAGCATCAAAGCATCAAAGCCCATATTAGTGAACACGAAAGATAACAGAGATGTGGAGAGATGACACATGGAGTTTATATGTGGAGCAGGGTATGTTATATATGTGTATATATATATATATACACATATATGCACTGAAACATCATCTGCATCGTGCATTGAATAAGCAATAATATATGCATGAACCAGGGCCCAAAATGTACTTTTTAACACCATAACTGTTCCATAAAAGACGTGCGTTTGTTTTTGTATGTCTCCTATTCATACAAAACCGCACTTCTTCAGAACATGATTAGCGCAGGTGGGAAACCGTGCAGATAGCAAGCGCAGATCCTGTTACCGTTTGACTAAACCTGAACGGGCAGGACTCCCGATTCCACTTTGAACACTGCATGATCGCCGGCGACGGATGTGACGGATCCAGCATCTGCAGGGACAGCTGTCCTTGCTGATATTATAAGAGTTGTGTTTATTTCCCCTTCACAAGCCTCAGTGATGCACCCAAGGTCATCATTTCTTACATTTCTCCTATTTCCCTCCATAAAAAAGGAATTTAAAGAACGTGTTGAACCCATGGCCTTAAACACAAAGCATCTTGTGGCTGCATTACATTATTGATTGTTGAGTCCCTCTGGAGTAAATGGTATGTCTTCCTCTGTAGCAGTGATTTCTGTAAAGTATTAGCGTAGGAAGCCTTTGCTCTTTGGTTCTCAGGGACTAACAGTAAATTCTGTCAGTTCAACATTGCTGTCTGATTAAAGGTCAATGTTGCTATGCTGTGGGGTCATTATTACATTTTCCTTTCATCAATAATGCCAACATAATGATGAGAAAAAACATTAGTAACACCAGCATTTATAGGGACTTCTGGAGATTCTATATTAAAATTTTGTCCTTGAGTGGGACACCGAACAATGAGCTCCCTGTTTGATGAACAGCGGACCACTGCTCATAAAAGGTCAGTACTACGGCAGAGGTCAAACGTCACGCTTACGGCGATTGAAATTAGGTTGAAGAAGCATTGTTTTATACTATTTAAAATTACTCAAAATTACTCAAAATCTACTTAGGTTAAGTCTCACATATATATATATATATATATATATATTTTCCAAATAGAGATCTAGTGTTACGGACGTTGCGTGGGGAAAAAGGCAGAACTCAAACGCAGAGTTTGTGGGAAAGAAAAAGGGACTTTAATAGTCAAAACTCAAAAATTCCAAGAAGACAAAACGTAGTCGAGAAACGGCAGACAAGTACTGTGACATGGACGTGCGCTTCCAAACTACTAACAATGACGCGACAAGTGACACAAGAGACACACGGCTTAAATACACTAGGAAGGTGCAGGTGATTGGACACAGGGGACACAGGGACATAGTAACCGTTGCGTCCGTTTGTGGTCAGCCGCTTTGAAGCCTCAGATTTGGCATTGTAACCGTTGCCATCTTTTTCCCTTTTTTTTTTCAACCGGAAGTGAAAGTAGAGATTGGAGCTAAGTACAACTGAACGGTGAATAATCAAAAGCTAATAACGTTTTCTACAGTAACAAATAGAGAGGGAAGATGGGTGATTTTCGCATCCAGAGGAGTCGCCCCCTGCTGGCCAAGCGAGAGAATGTCGGTTTAAGGGACATTGCATTAATCTCAAAGTTACTGTCTGTTAAAAGCGAAGCTAACAAGATGCTGGTTGTAGCCTGGATCTTAGAAGGATGTCCTCCATTTCGCCGCGAGATTGACCAAAACTGTTTCTTTAAATTACAACTATTAGGACATGGATCTTAACCAAAAAGATCACCTTTGAAATGAGCGTTTAAAAAAGTGTGACCAACAGCCCTGTGGAGCCTTTTGCCGAATCGGTGCTTTTACGATTTCTCCTGCTCTGAAAGTAAAGTGAAAAAATGAAGAACTAGAAAATTCTCACTCCTGGTTTACGGTTACTTTGATTCTTCATGAATGTAGTTATGTGCTTTCCATAAACATGTGTAGAGCTAAAGTGACTGAAATGGATCAAAAGAAATGAATAAAAAGTAGCAGGGGTTGAAATCCTGCAGCGCTTCATTAGTACGCCCCATTAGAAGTGACAAGTAGCTCAGTGGGACTTCACATCTGGACATTGCACTTCCTCATTGTAGCTCAGGGCAACAGGCTCTTATACAGAATACTTAATAGATTTTCCAAATAGCTGACTGCAGAAATGTTCCCTTTGAAATATAATTCACGTTGACCCAAATACAGAATAAATTTATAAAATGAAGTGATTGTCAGTCACGGCAGCCCATGTGCCTTTTGTTTTTCACAAAAGGAAATTGCTTTTGGTAACTGTTTGTTTATTTGTGTTGTGCTGGTCACTGGTCTGCAGCTTTGGCTTTTACAGTGATTCAAACATTAGAACAGATTTCGTATGCTGCTGTAATTGCTTTCCACAATAACAAAAGGGAATATGAGTCGGCTGTGGTCCATCCCTAAAGAAAACACTGATTGTTTTTTGATGAGAGTTCAATTATATTTTGTTACTCGACTGCAGCCCTTCTAAATAGCGCTGTTTGGGGGCAATGCTAAATGTTTTTTACTAAACTGTGGGGAAGGATGTGTTGTCACGTTCTAAATAAACAGATCAGCACGTAGAAAGGTCACTACATTGTGTGTTGACTCATCCGTGAGTCAAATGAAATAATGTCTGAGACTAATCTGGGCCATGTTTCCCAAAAGCATCTTCAAGCTAAGATTATTTCATCACACGACATATAATCATAGATCTAAGCCTTGAAGGAATAGTTTGACATTTTGAAAGATAAGCTCATTCTTTTATTTGCCTTTACACAATAATTCCCATTATTTAAAAACAGATTTAGTCACTCCAAGGTTGATTTGTTTCCTGTTTTTCTTTCATTCTATGAGGCAGGTTCATACAACCCAGGCATGTTACACCTGGTAAAGTAACAATATCGTCAACGTTTGATAGAGGCATGGTTGGATGGTGGATGGTTGGATGGTTGGATTATAAGAGCATGGGGTTTTTTTTGGGCCAAATGGACGATAAAGAGTCCACGAAGGCGCACAGGTGCAGGCACTGGTGCATATGTAACATATACTTAGACGGGCCTGCCCTGCCCTGTTTCCACAGAAGATCCCGTCTTACACTTACTTTGCACAATAACATTCACCCCTTCACGTTTAAGATCATTATCAT